AGAGAAGGGGGCTCTGGTGGCCCTGCCTAGCTCTCAGTGGGTGAAGGTGGAGGAGCCTGTTCGTTTTGGAGGCAAGTCTGTGCCAGTTTTACGGACAAGATCATTTTTCACTTTTAAATTCACATAAGACTTCATGTAAGTTTAAAAGTATTTTTAAACTCTGTTCACATTTATTTTATAGATGCATGTTTGAGTCCATATTCCAAGCTGCTGCTGACCTCCCCGGCACAGGTCCTGAACCTGGTGGCAGAGGAGAAGGGAATTCTTCAGGCTCAGCTTAGCCAGGAAGAGGACGCTCAAGGGTGCTTCATCCAGAGCGCCCTTTGTCTTTTACAGGTAAAGCTACGTGCACATCTTTGGCAACTAAGACATAACAACATAGACATAAATAATGCAATAGACAAAATAAAGTGAAATAAGTGCATTTAATTTGTATGAATAAAAGTTTTTTTGCTATGCCGCTAAATCCATTTTCTCTTGGGTGTTTTGTTATTTTGTTTGTTTGTTTGTTTGTTTGTTTTGTCTAAGGAAGCCAAATAAGCAGTTAACTGATGATGTCTTTATCTGTATGTGTTTGTGATTAGGAGCAAGAGGAAAAGCTTCTGGAGCAGCAGAAGGAGAACGCAGACAGCCTCGACTTGTCCTCTCTGACTATGAAAGAACCTTCTTCTCCTGTGGAAGAAGGGGTGACTAACATCAGCAGTGCCAAGGTGAGTCTAAACCTTCTTTACCCTTTTTCACATTGTTGTATCTCTGGTGATGGGATCAAATGTATCCTATTTGCGTGCTCCTGGTTATGGTTTTTTATCGCCTCTGTCTTGTTTCATCTTTAGCCCGTGCTGCAGTACGCCTCAGCATTTGATGACGAGGTGGCAGAGTTTCCGGAAGATGCTGATGCAGAGCTGCCAGGCTTTCCCGAAGCCATTCTAGAGAGTGTGCTGGAGGAGCCTCCTGCAGCTACAGGCGATTCCACCTCAGAGCTCCAGCTCGAAGAGGAGAGCCCGGCCATCCAGGCAGAGTCAGGCCGGCCCTCAGCCAGTGTGGTGCCCGGACCTTATTACTATTTCTACCAAGGTTGGTGATCCTCTGCTCCACCCGTCTACCCAGGATAAAATTCCTGCCGTTATATGTAAAATTTCCTCATCCCTATTTTTTTCCTGCTTTCCATTTTTCTCCATCAAGCTGACGACTGCCAGCAGATGTTCCTGCATCCCGTGAACGTGCGCTGCCTGCTACGTGAATACGGCAGCTTGGAGGCCAGTCCTGAATCCATCACCGCCACAGTGGTGGAGATAGTGGGGCAGACAGTCACAGAGGTCAGCAAACAAAGAAACAAAAGACTGTGACGTTGTTGTTTAATGTAGTTTTGATTGAAGTCAACACATTTAGTTTATTTATCCCCCTTTCCTTCTTGCAGGAGATCCGCCGCCGGCATCGCTATCTGGCTCATCTGCCACTCACATGCGAGTTCAGCATCTGTGAGCTAGCACTGCAACCACCAGTCCTGTCCCAGGAAACTCTGGACATGTTTGCAGGTTAGAACACTTAAAACTTTTTTAAAGGGTTTTACTGTAAAGGTTTCTCAGATGAAATAAATTGTCCTTTAAACCTTTAGATGACTTGGAGAAAAGAAAACGCCTGAGGCAGAAGAAGGCGAGAGATGAGAAACGCAGAGAGAAGCGAATTGAGATTGAGGAGAACAAGAAGCAGGGTAAATGTAAGTATACCTGAAAATCACACCTTTTATATACCTCATATTTTGAAATTGAGGTCCATAGTACTTGCATTTTCATTCCCCAGATCCTGAGGTGCATATTGGGCTGGAGAACCTTCAGCATTTCCCAGCATTCGGCTCTCCACCTCACAACAGCAGCCCCCCGATCCAGCCTGACTTCACCTTTGCGCCTCCTTCGCCCCTCAGCAGCAGCCCTTCCTCTGGTAAGATCACCCCTCCCATCTGCCATTTTTTGATAAGAGTTTCCTCCTGTCAGCTGCCTGTGTGGCTTTTGGTGATAAACGCCATGACACACATAATTTTTTTTTTTCTTTTCTTTTTTTAAACGTCTGTCAATTCAGATGGAATGAAATTCCCAAGTCTGAATACGCCGTCACCTGTCGTGGGTAGTGTGGAGGATGAGTCCCACTGCATGTCCTTTGCACAGGTGTGTGTGGGAACAGTACTCTTTGTGACTTAAGCGGTTGGCATAGCTCAGCAGTGCTTTAATAAGACTGTTTCCTGTGTAGATGCTAAGAGATGGGAAAGCAAGAGCTGATGCTGGGCCCAGGATCACTCCAAAGAAAGGTAATGCAAGAGTGTAGATGTTATGGTGCCTTGTTTGTTACAGTTAAGCTGTAAATGTGAATAATGTGAAATCTCACAGTTAAAATGAAATTGATTAGAGGTGCCTGGTTGGCTCGTGATAGTAGCTACAGCAGTAAGCTTGTATTTATGGGGAGCAGTTT